AACACATTATGAATCTTTCATTTGTTGCGAATCTCGTTTCTATCAGGATTTAAATGTAGTTGTGACTGTAATGTTAGGTGGGTGAACAGTGGAATCAATCTCGTATGCTTTTGACAACTAGATGCTGTACAACAAGATTCTTCGTTTTACTATTACATGATTAAAATCGTTATTTTTTGCTTTTCTTTCTTCTTGCTATTTTATAATTCTATCGTTTTTTTTCTAGTTTCTTTCTATCGATTTCATCTAACAGAAAAGAAAAATGAACGATGGCAAATTTTGTTTTTTTTTTGTTAACAGAGGAGAATGGGATGATCCATTTTAATACACAAGATCATAGATTGTTTTTGTCAAATACCTTTATCTTACTCTTTTTGTCTCATCGTTCGTATCTATATAAAGACATGCATTCCATTGTCATGAGGATGTGTGTTCAGAACCAACAAATAAAACAAATTAGAACAGTGTATAGGACAGGTCTTAACTCATTTTCGTTATAATCTATCCATGCGAAGTCCATAGACAAAGATACCACTCTCTAGTCTATTCCCCTGTCATTGAGAGAGAAAAGTTATGTTCGCATAAGGGAATCTGCTTACCGATACGGGATTAGTCGTGAAATGATGAAAACGAATGAGTTTGAGAAGAAAATGGTTTATTGGGGATGAAAGGGAAACGAAACAATGTAATGAGGCCATGAAAAAGACAACAGCTACTGTCGATATTCAAATCAATTCAACATGAAACGTTAGAGACTGAGGAAAAGTGCGGGAAAACTAACATCGCAAGAAGCAGACTACATGAAATCAGATAATCTGTGGAAAAAGGAAAATAAGAGAATAAAACAAACTGCAATGAAGGGAAAACGGTACATCAATGCAGAGACTGAACTTCTGAATCTGAGATAGAAGGAAAAAGAAACGAGAGAATGAAGGATGTGAGTGTGTGTGTGTGAGTATAATTCTGTTCCTTTAACCCACACTCTATTCGTTTTGACGTACAAAATCAAGACTGATTGTAAAGATGAGGCAGATATCTAGCAGAGGATGATGTAACAAACTGGAGGTGTAGCTCTGTCGCGACCATCGACAGTGATGTTTATTGAGCTACTTCATCACTCCAGTTGTGTCTATATCACAACAAACACATGCTTATATATTAGTCATACAAGAGAAAGAGAAACACACATCGTCAAGGTCAACACTATATAAGGAAGAAGTTACATGGAGAAGAAAAGATGAGGGAGGTGAAGTGTAGCGGTCATTAACCGTTCCAGATGAGAATGAACAGAAAACAAGGATGGAAAACTAGCTGACAATATGAAATAGATAGTTCGGAGCATAAACTTTTTCTAGTACAATTTAAAATGTGTTCACATGTTTGAATAAGCTCGATAAATATTTAAAAAACAGATTCCGATAACATCTTGCCTATTGCATCCCAAGGTCACAAGTTGTTTCTACTTCTTTATCTACTATCATTCTTAAGGAGTCTCTTTGATACGTTCTATTATGAAATTAACTTTGACAGTGTAGTTTATATCAGATAGATACATAAATTGAACTGGAACACAGTAATTATTAAAAATCTAACCAGCTGTAGTATTTGTGTATAATATATTTTTTATTAATAATAAGTTCGAGTGTTGCTAAAATAAGGATGTAGTGTCCTAACTCAACTGCAGAGTAAAATTGGCAAAAGAATAATTGAAATTGTTTCGACTATAATATGTAATCTGTTGATTGGTTTAATCCGATCAGTTGGCAGATGTGGAGAGAAGCATAAAGATTTCAGAATCAAATTTCAACTTTAAAAGAAATAATACAAAAATATGCAAGTAAAAACAAAAGATAATGGATCTTTATTATAATCTCGCACATATAAAGGGAAAAAATAGAAGTTTGACGTCTTTATGATATATCTTATCTTTTATGATTGTTAAGAAACGATTTTTCATTCTGATTAAAAACCAAGGCAGTGTGGAAATGATTATTTTTACATCACGTGTGTTGATGTAAGTGCAATTTATCGAACTAACTGTTCTCATTGTAATAAATCTCATGTAATAAATTAGTTTAAATGCGTTAAATTGCTTAAACAAATGAAGAATAATGAGTTACTATTGATCTTAATAAAAACCCGTTCAAGAAAATACCAACAAATCATCATTACATGTAAAGTGAAAGACAAAAGTCGCCTGACCACAGACTCTCGCATCTTATTACCTGCACGTATTTCGTTAATATGAGAGAGCTAGCTAAAGTATCTTTCTTCTTTTCTCTTCATACATTAGTTAAAGGTAATATTCATCATGTGCACAATCAAAAAGCATCGTTGCTTATAGGCTCTTCTTTTTTGATTGGTTGCTTCTTTTTTTTCACTAAGATGAGAAAAAATCGATCTATGCATCAGTAATCACTGCAGTAGAGAATAGATAAAAATGTGCGCTGGTCACATTTTTACTTCACTTTTTGCATTCGCTTGATTTCACAGCTAGTGTATTCAGCTATTTCTTTACGACTCACATCATCCTTAGGTATTTTTTAACGATAGTACGATGATATTACTTGTATTTAGTCTACTTTAGTTAAATGATATCTTTTCATATCAGAGCTTTTGGCCCTAAGAAAAGTGTACTTTCGAGTTATATCGTATTTTTATGCTTGCGAACAGGCAAAGATGCAGAATCTGCCCATGTGCAAAAGTACGCGCTCGGGGAAATTCTTTCAATTTGAGAAAGTTTCCAAATCAAGTCTGTAAATTTTTTCTTATAGAAGTAAGAGCACTAGTTTTGTACACAGCTTCTTTGCTGTGCAGTATCTTACTCTGTCGAATCAGGACTACTGTAATTAACCGATAATTGCTAGATTTTTTTCTAACACAACTTTATATGTTTGTTAGATAAAGCCTTTTCTTTTCGTATTTTTTGGTGGTACAAGTTAAAAAAATAAATTGACTTTTATTCAAGGGGGAAGCGGTAGACTCCAGTCGCATGGAGCCCCATGGAATCCCGTAAAATCCTCGTCAGATTTTCAGAAGTTCGTTATAGAAATTCGATACTACTATGTCTTGGTTTTTTTATCAGTTGTAACATCGGATGAAATAGTTATTAGCATCGATTTAGAGACAAACGTACACCATTCTTCCCTAATTGGTATTCAGCACATTTATTTACTCTAAAATTTAAAAGTAACCGAAATGTCATTTATTTGATAACAAAATCCAACAATGTATTACACAAAGAAAAAGACATTTACTTATATTTTTATTAGTCTAATTTATTCAGAGTAACCGGTCGTTTGAAAGTTTACTTTTTTCCAGTAGTGTAATAATTGAACTTCGAGTTCAATTATTGAAGTCATGATGGCAGAAGGAGAGGTCCTTGGATTCGATACTTCCTTAAACTCAAGCTTTCTCTTGTCTGTTTGTACAGCTACATTGCTACGCCATGTCCACAAATGCAGAACAACAGCAAGAGATTCTGCCAACACCACTATTACCCAACGGTGGAGTATTTACTGTCTCATCTTCAATTGTGATCTCGGCGCCTGCCTCACGCGTCTTCGCTGCTATCGTCGATACTGCAAACTACCACAAATGGAACACTTTCGTACCATCTGTCGAGATTCTCAAACAGCCATCTGACCATAATGACAACACCGAGAAACTGAGAGTAGGCACCGACATGCGCTTCACAGTGTATATGAAGCCAGGTGACTCGGCGAGATCAACTCTCCTGCAAGTTACTGTACTTGATCCAAAAGTATGCAAAATATGCTGGAAGTTCAACGGTGGCCCTTCTTGGTTGTTACGAACTGAACGAGTGCAGGAAATGACAGACAAGGACGACGGGACATGTGAGTATCGTACATGGGAAACGTTTGCTGGGCCATTGTCTTATATCATACGATTTATCAGCGGCAATGACTTGCGCGAGCGGTTTAACGATTGGGGAAGTGATCTAAAACGTTACGTGGAGGAAGCACGGCTTCAATCATGAAGAAAGGATGCTCTTTGAAACATCGATTTGTATGAATATGTGTGTCTCTGCTTATTGAATAATGCTGAGAAAATAAAACGAGATCACCTTTCACGGCACGTTTTGACATTTACTATAGTGATCGTATAACAAGTGAAACAGAGGGTGTGGGTGTGGGTGTATGGCTGTGGGTGGGGATGTGGTTGTGGGTGTGGGTGAGTGAGTGTGGGTGTGGGAATGTGGATGTATTTTTTTGACACAAGCAGCAACACCCACACCCACACCTACCACACACCCACACCCACACCCACACCCACATCCACACCCACACCCTGCATCACACATTGTTGATGCTGTTGAACTTGATTTAATTGTTGTTGAACAATTGGAGGAACAAGAACATATTAATAAGATTGTTGTTGTTTGATTTGAAGTTGATGAATTGAATTATGTGAAGAAATAGTAACGGTTGAAGGAGGCAAATGAGAAGAATTACGATCAGCTGAACCTTGTAACATATTGGTTGGTGCTGCTGGATTTTGGATAGGTCGTGATGGCGGAGCTGGTGATTACTGTTGTTTACGAATTGATAAATCCATTGTTAAATTCATTCTTCCTTAGTATGACAAAGAAGACAAATCTAACAATAAAAGATCAATGTACAATATATAGGAATATAAATAAGAATTTTTTTCTAATAAGTTAAATATTAACGATCGGATTAAGAAAAAAATGTCATTTTGAAGATATCGGACGAAATGGCGGTAACCGAATAGGAACAGGTGATTGCTCTTGTGGTAAATTAATTGATGGATTATCTAGTTACAATATTTGAAGTTGACAAAGTAAATGTAATAATGATTCCATATCCTCACGAGCGTAAAAACTATCCATCTATATTAAATAGATAATAACAAAAAAACACAAAAATTCTAATTTAATCTCTTTTTCTTACTTCTTTATATAAAAGTATATTAAATCCATCACTCCAACATGACATGTCATAATCATTTTCACATGATTATGTATATGTTGTATCATTTTGAAGAATAATCGTTAGATTTGTATGTGCATTACTCTATTAAAAACGACTTTCTATTAATTATAATGATTAGAAAAATCGATAGATATTTACATGACGAGTAAGTTTTGAAACACGTTCTTGACTTTTAAAATTACCGGAACGTACTTGATCAATATTACATTGAACTTCTTTGATATTTTCAACGAAAACTAAATATTAGTTAAGAATTCATAATAAAGGGTTAGAACTTAGTAATTTTAATCTATGAAAACATACTCATTGTTCTAATAAGATTTCTTGTTGAAGTGTCTCTTGTATTATTTTCTTTAATAGTTGTTGTTGGTGATTCACTACATTGTACATGTTTTTCATAATCAAGTAATTGCCAATACATTAAACGATCTATTTCGAAATAAATAAAATCTATGAATGTGATGAAGAAAATTTACTTTTAGTTTTTTTAGCACCGGGACGACTTTCACTAGTCATAAATATTTGTCCTTTTTTCATTGTTTTAAGACGAGCTTGACGTGTTAAAAATTCAGTCTGAGATCTTAAATGTTCTTTTTATGTTCTAAATAAACAATAATATTTCTTTTATCTTATTCAAATAGATATAATTCATACTCAACAATACGTAATTTCATAATAATTTCTTCTTTTTTTAATTCTTGTTCATCACGTCGTCAACATATATCTTTATAATTATTTGTATTTAATCTTTCAGAAAAATAATCAAATGTAAATCGTTTTAAAATAATTGGTGCTAATGATGTATTCATTAGAGATTTAGTTATTAGTAACAATGATAATTGATTCAATGAAGATGAAATCGTTTTATTTATTAAACAAATATCATCAAGTGATTGACAAATTTGTTGATGTACAACTGAACTAACCTAAGATAATAAAGGAATAAAAAATTTTCTATTGTGAATTTCAACAATTATATCACTGGAAAATGGACATCATAAGTACGCATTTCTTTCCATGTTTTATTAAATAAAAGTATACAACGAACAAATGCTCTTTCAAAAAATGATGAACTTGTATAGAAAAGTAGAAAATAATCTTTATGTATTTTATATCTATTTGCTACAGAAGATTTTTTTTTTCTTTCAAATTTTAATTAAAAGAAATTATTTACCTTCAACACCAATATGAAATAGTATACAAAGTATTCGTGTTACTTCAATAGATGATTTAAGTAATGGACATTGTTGTTGAAGTGTTTTACATGAATTTTCAAGAGCAAACTGTAAACTGAAACTTTTAGAGATAACGAAAAAAAATTTTAATTAAATATATACTTGAATAAAATCATTTTTTTGATGAATACAAAAATAGAATCAATTTTTTAATGATAAAAAACCGGATAGAATTATTTGAAAATCTCTTATTGGTTCTCGTAAATTCTAAAAAAAATTCAATTGTTTTTTTATTTAAAAATATTCTTACTTAAAATCCAAGTCGTTCATAATCACGTTGTAATCTCTTCAACTCGACGAGGATTTATTATTGATATTGGAATAATTTCATTTGTATTTACTGATGATACTCGAAAACTTAAATCTTGACAACTTTGATCAGATAATAATAAATCTGTATCAAATGCATTTCGTCGTAGTTTCGAAATCATATCACGATATTTCTATTTATTTATCAAAATTAATAAAAATTTGTCAAATAAATTCGAAATTCTAACTATATGAGATTGATCTGGTGATGTATTCATTGAATCTGTATATAATTCATTCAAATAAAATCTTTGTAAAAGACACAATTGTTGGACAAGTGAAGAACGAGTTAGATGCTAAAACAAAATATTTATTATCAAAAGTAATATGTAGAAAAACTCGAGTTTTATATTTTGAGAACGATAACATTTGTGAACTTATAATAGAATTCAATTATTCTCAAAACATTAGACAATATTTATCCAGTAAGAACATTATTTGACATTAATATATAAAAGTCTGTTCGCTTAATTTTCATTCGTTTCTTTTTTTCAATAATAAACATTTGATTAGAGTTTAGCTGTTTGATCTTATAATTTTCTTAGCAAGAAAATATTTAGAAGTATCTTTCTCAGTTTTCGACATTTCTACTTTCGAACGCAATAAGAGAAACCGAGTTTCATAAACATCATTATCACTCTCGCATTATCCCAAGGCTATAAAATACTCTTTTCTGGCACATAATCACAGCAAGAAGGTGTTGTTTAAGACCAAGATCACACGCAACGAACATTGTCTACAAGCCGAAAAGAAAGTGAAGATATTCGATGATTACCAATTGTTTTTTCGATATCAGAGGCATCAAAATTTGGCAGAAGATCACAAAATTTTTTCGATTAGGGCTGCCGAAGATCATGGTCGAATCTGTAAACAGACTAGACAGTTTGGTAGGAATATGTGAAATACGATTGTCCAACACGTGTCTACTTCTTCACTGCGTACTCAAACTACCCATGCAATAATGTCCGACGAAAGATTGTAAACTACTAACGTTCTAAAATCGATATTAGATTAGATAATAAATACAAACTCGTATTGATTGTATTGTCATGTCTATAGATGAAAATGAATCATTATTCGAATGTTCATCCTAGAAAAACATGATTATCAAAAACCGATAGAAAATCTAAATCTTACACTAGTAACAATCGATTGTACAAGTTCACGAAGACGTATTGACACAATTGTATTTGACATAGCCATTACTAATGACTAAAATAATATTATTTTAACCTTGACAAAGTATGACAAAAAAATCACTCACTGAACGAAGCATTTTGTCTCCTTACTCATAATGATATTAATTAAAGCCAATACATAGTATTGCGTTTCAATATCATTTTGTCTGAATAAAATATTTCAAATTTTTAAATAATCAATTTAAAAAAAAAGATTTACTTGCTACAATAATCAAGTAAATGAGATGTTTCAAGTGTTTGAATAATTTTTAATGAATACTTTGATTCATTATTAATAAAATAAATAACTAAAAGATTCGACATAGTTTATGTTGATTTCTTATATGTTTCGTAGCACCGAACATCAATAAATAAGGATCTAGACAATAAACAAGAGATCCTAAAATTTATCAGTTAGTAAATCTTAAATACAAAAACAAAAATTTTGAAATATTTTTCAGTTATTTGATAAATGACGTTGGAATAACAAATTGTTTTACTTCGTTATAATACCAAAAGACAAGTAAAACAAGAGAGATTAATTAGAATATGACTCACACTAACAGCAAAATAGAATACTCAGAAAAGTGAATATTATCAAACAAAAATTTTTTAATTAAAATTAAGAAAACATTATATATGTTGATATATTGTGATACATAGGGTTTAATATATTATTGTTTTGAAACAATTCTTGAAAAGATTCTTTTTTGATACTTTAGCAATGCTTTATTCATAAAAAAAATTGTTTTCTTTTTTTTTTTTTTAATTATTTTGCGCATTCCAATTTCAACTAAATTCTCATGTCAACTGTGACGTATATGTCCACGGTGAACAACCAAACCAAAAATAATATTTAGTTTTTTGTCGAAGATACCTGATTCTATTGCATCGGATGTGCTGGAATAGACGTCAGATATCATTTTCAAGTAATTGATATAGATTTTATTACAACATTGTGTCGGTGAAGAGAGAACTCCTCTCTTCAATGTTTTGATGTAATTCATACGTGTCCATGGTGGCTGAACCAAGAAAAAACAAAGATTCGGTTTTATTTCAAATCTCTATCTTTGAATTTCATCGGATGTGGTCGAATAGATGTTAGACATGAATATCGAGCAGCATGTGCTCAGTTGATTGAAATATTGTGTCGGTAAAGAGAGAATTTCTCAGTTCAATGTCGTGATACAATGGACAGATGTCTATGAGGGCCGAACGAAGAAAAAAAAGATTTCGTTTTTTCTCAAATGTGCAGTTTTGGCTATTGTTACTGCTGCAAGAGTTTCTATAAAAGAATTTAATTAATCTTTTTCCAGTTTTTAAAAAGTTTATTAGCATTATAATAACTCTGTAGATATCATAGAGAGATCCCCTTCCTATACTGCTCTTTCAAATGAAAGAACTACCTATGCTTATTTTGAATTACTTTTAAAAAAGGTGATAGTGAATACATAGTTTCCTTAAATTACAATCATATAGTACACTACAAAAATTAACTTTGGCAATATTTTATTTTTCAACATTATATCTG